GAACTATAGGATCGAACTTCTCAGCTGGAATTCGGGGATGGTGAGCCTCCCTCTAAACTACTAACACAAGGCACATGCTGTTTTCTGGCAGGATGCTTTCTTGCCCATCTGCTTGGGAGCGACATGCCAACTGGACACGGCCAGGCAGGAGAGCCAGTGGTGCTGGGACAGAGGGACTGAGTCAGCGCTAGGACCCCGCTCCTGCAGCAGTCCCTGCGTCAGGGCAGACTGATGACAAGAGATCACATTTGTGGATACTGTAGAGAAAGAACGAGCAGCAAACATCCAGATCCTGTGCCCCCTTTTCCCAGTTCACCTCTCTTCTGGGGATCGGCTGACTGGGGGTGGGAGGGGGTAATGGAGACTTCCCTGTTTGCCTACATTCCCCTTGAAAAAGAACAACTGGTGTCCTTTTTCTTCCCTATGTGCCATGTAGGGAAACCATTGCAGCCGGTCCCAGAGCAAATCTCTTTATTTTGCAATTGAATCTTGGTGTACGATCAGGTGAGGTCGGGTGTCATAAAGCTAAAGAGAAACAAGTGGGTGCTTGAGAAATTCATGGCCTTGCCTTTGTGTGTTCTCTCCTTGTCTCCTCTTTTGTCTCCCCTCCCTTTCTGTTGACATCTGCTGAGTTCATTTTTTGGAAATCTGGGAGCCCCTGACCTCAGTCCAATGCAGGCATTCTCCCAAGGGGGTAGTGACAGCCACAGAGACCTGCAGGGTGAATGGTTACTGATCCTCTGTGAAGCTGGCCCCTATATGTGCCTATCCCCCCACGCGCTGTGTGAAATATGTGCGCGCAAGCTCATGTTCTCCCACGGCTCTTCAGCGCGCGTTATACGCTCTAGTTCAAGGGCTACTTTAATTATCTGCTTCTGACTCCCCATGAATATCATTAATTGAAAAATACCCCACTGCATTTGTTAAGTACACTGTTGTGGCTTTCTTGATAAATGTGGGGTTTCCTAGGCGTTTCCGAATGTAGGAAAAAATTGTAGGATTTCCACTGCTCCCTCTGAGAGTTCTTAAGAGCTTAAGAACTATAAGAGCTATGAGGACCCCAGTTTGGGGGTCACTGTTATATGTGATGGTGTCCTGGACAGGACACCCAGAGATATGGACTCTGGTTGATCCACAGCTCAGGACCTGGGCCCAGAATCTTTCTCTTCTCCTCCATAAAGGGAATTACAGATGCAGTTTTAGGTAAGGCCCTTTCTGGACCCATCGTTTTGCCTCTCCTGGATCTGTGCCCTGGGGGACGAGTGGGCAGATATCTACCTATCTTGGGGCCATCTCTAGCTCTCTCTCCAGCCAGAGCTTCTTCTGATGGGAAGTGTGTAGCTCTTTTCCCATTCCACGTGTGCAAACCAACAGAAGAACCCTGGAAAATCCTGAAGGAGATCCCAGAGGTGTGCAGGAGGGAACCGAAGGTCAGAAATTTGATCTTCTGCTTGGGAAGCATGAATGACCAGCAATGCACATTTCTCCCTCGAAGAACTCTCCCAGATTAAATGCCTCTGAACTTGACGACATCAAAGACAGCTCAGGGTGTGGGGCTGTGTTGTGGGTGTATCATCCCTGTTATCACTACTTAAGTCTTTCTTCAAACATGATATTGAGTCCAAGAGTCTGCTTAATTATTATTAAACTAAAAACATGTTACATTCCAAAGATATTTTGGAAACAATAGATTTGGATATTTACTGGTGGCTTCCATCATTTCAACAAACTTGTATTTAGGGAGCAGCTGGTGTCTGCAAGCCTAAACTATAAAACTGGTGTTTAGAGATGAAGTTGATAATTCTCCCACTCATTTACAAGATTACACTTAGGGGAAAGATTTCACCTGAGCGTGCCTCATGCCAGAAGCCAAAGAAACGCACAAACTTGGAAAAATCTGGGACATGTATGCCATGTACTTAATGTACGGGGTGATTTTCGTCTGGGCTAAAAATAAATAACTATTGAGTGGATGTGTGTGTGGCGAAAATCTGATTCCAGATGGTGGGTGCATGTGTATGTTAAGAATGACATTGGTGATAGAGATCATGATAAAAATAACCCAATTGAAATCTAGCGGGAAAACATCTTTTAAAATTATAGTAAATTCTTAACTAGTTGGGTCACTTCTAGTGGAATCAACAGAATGAATCTCACAGGTCTTTTTCAAAACTCTAAATTCCATGATTCTATGAAGACCAAATTAAGAAAATGTTAAATGGGGTATGGAGCAGTGTATAATCCTTGCTACGGATGAATCAGTTTCGGCCCTAAGATATAACGTCTCATGCTCAATTCATGTCTTCGAAAAGAAGTTCTAATTCTAATTACTTAAACTAAAATAATGAGTGTAGTTTTATTGCTATCATAGGTGAATCTAGTATCCAAAGAAAGGTTTACATGAAGAGCAACACATCTCTAATCCTCTCCTGGATGGACATGAACCAGATGGGCAACAGGCTGGTGACCCTTAGCCTTTGATGGTGTGAGGTCAGGTGGAGAGGGAGGGAGGATTTGCTCCACGCTGTACTCCCCAGGACAGCCCTGACCATAAGCCCCTGTTGGCAGAATCACCACAGCACAGAATTTAAGCTTAGAGATGCACAACCTGGCTTTAAATCCTAATCACCTCTGTGTCCTTTTAACCAGTTACTCCATTTCTCCAAATTTCAGTTTCTTTCTTTGTAAGTAGGTAATTAAAATTGCCTTTCTGTGGGGATTAAATGAGATGATAGGTGTCAAGTATCTGACACACAGCGAGTGTTGGAGAAGCATGCTAATGTTATTATTGTCATCTGTTTATTTTACTTAATTACCTTGAAACTAAAAGAAAAGTTAATTTGGGCACTTTACAAAAAGTCCCTGCATGAACTCAAGATATCACTGGTGATAGAATTATTTTTCCTTCTCAAATTAAAACTTTTTCAAAACACCAATGAGAGGAGAGACAATCTGTAAAGACTTGAAACCTTAAGTTTTTATTTTTGGCATGTCTTGGGCCTGCTTACTTTTTTTTTTTTTTTTTTTTTTAATACGTTATGAGCTTTACGGAATTGGAAAAAGGATTAACAGCCTAAAAAAATATATAGGCTTTATAAATCCACTTAGCTTGAGAATGACTTTCTGGGGCAACTGGCCTTTCCAAAATAAATTTGCAAACTGTATCCTTATTAAAAAAAATTGGAATTTGGCGAGGCAAAAGAATTTGGGCCGTATCAGCTTGTCATTCCAAATTTAAAAATATTTAGTCTTACTTCAAGATAAATAGCAACAATTGAACTTAAGCCACTAGGAAAAATAAACATACAACGTCTTGAAAATGTACAAATAACTAGATGGTTTAAAAAATGTTATCAGAACTGTCTTTACTGCTAACAAGGTCTAAATGAAACCGTGGCCATAGATAATGTTTGTTTCTTGCCTTGTGACTGTCCTGACAGGGGGTTGTCCAGTCGGGGAGTAGATGAAGCTTAGCATTCACAGGCCTTGGGAGCCATGGATGGAGAGACTCCAGCTGTCTGCCAACCAGAACCTGGCAGATCTTTGGCAAGGTGGTTGACAACTCTTACCCGGAGACAATCAGGAAGTCTTGGGGAGAAGGTAAGATTTGAACTGAGTCTTAAAGAACGGTAGGACAAAATTATACAATCCCCCTCCAGAGGTAACAATTTTCCTTCCTTCCCTCTCTCCACCTTCTCCACCTTCTCCACATGCTTAGAGGCATGAAGGTTGGAACCCATGGATGATCATGGCAGACGGGTGATCATAGGAAAAATCAACTTGACCTCTGAAAGCCCTACTTGAGTGTGGTACGAAACCGGTATCGAGGGAGAGCCTGAGACCGATGATGATTTCCTGAGGTGACCTTGTCTTCCTCAGCTTACCTGATTAAGCGCAGAGCTCGAGTGAGCCTTGAATTCGAATCTCTCCATCGCCACCTGTTACCTATGGCCCTGGGGCCACATGTGTGCTGCTCTTTGACTGCCATCTTTCGCATTTGTAAAGTAAGTATGTGAGAGTTGGATTATTGTGAGGCTATGTGATTTATTATTATAATAATTATTGTTATTATTTTTTAGCCTGCAGTCAGCCAAGTACATTGCCCTAGTAGGTAGTTTTATTTATGTACTAATACTTACTTTGAGTCTAGTTTCTTCATGAACTCAGCTAAAATCACAGGTGCCACAGACCTATGTCCTATGATACCGTATTAAATCTAGGACGCTTTTTTCGAGTCAGAGATAATTTTTTTTCTTTTTTTTTAAATCTCAGGAACCTCTATTACCAGAGTTTAATTGGATAATCACTTCAAGGAATATCTGGGGTCATTTTGTTTACAGGAAACGGGTTTAAGAGAATGCTTTTAAAGACATATTTCTTTTCAGCTTGATATAACTTTTCAGTACTCAGTACGCAGAGTTTTCCATATTAAGATTTATTCTCTCTAAAAGCATTAATAAGTACAGAATTAAACCATAAGGTAAAAATTTAAATGATTGCTATGAAAAATGTGACGTTTTTTAAAATCCAAATTTCTAATAATTTCCTGTTGTTTTAAAACTCATAATACTTTTGACTTATAATAATCAAACTGGAATTTTCGTTCTAATCACAAGTAATGATATCTCAAACAGGAATCATAGAACACAGAACAAAAATTTTGAAAACAGTCCGAGTTATGGTCAGAGCAGCAAAATTGTGAAAAAATAAAAATCTCCATCACTTGGCTGTTTTGACATATTTTCTCCTGCTGATAACACAAATACGAAAGAATTGACTGGATATGTCTGATCTCATACAGACAATTGACTAACTTAACAGAATACCTATTGTCTTAATATCTACGGATGTCTGGATTGAGCAAACAAGACTTAATCTAAAATAAGAAGAACCAGGGGTGCCTGGGTAGCTTAATCAGTTAAATGTCTGCCTTTGGCTCAGGCCTTGGTCCTGGAGTCCTGGGATCAAGCCCCACATCGGGTTCCCTGCTCAGCGGGGAGTCTGCTTCTCCCTCTCCCTGCTCATGCTCTCTGTTGCTATCTCTTTCTCTCTCAAATAAATAAATAAAATCTTAAAAAAAAAAAAAAAACAAGAAGAACCAGATTATACTTTATGCCTTTCCCCCTTTTTAATATCCACAGTTGTTGTTGTAATAACTGTTGTAGTTATCTTCATTGACAAACTTGAGATTGTTCTGGTAACTGGTCCAGTTCCCTGACTTCAAAGCAAAACACGTGGCACACACTGGGAGGATCATATTCCCCTTTCCCTGAAACCAGAGTTGTTGGCACTGAGGGGGGGCATGTGGCCCAAGCTGGACCTATCAGAATTCTTTCCTGGGTTTGTTTTACTGCAACTAGCAGAGAATACAGTTCTTCTTTCCTGGGTTGATAAAGATGTGACTCCATGACTCAGGATGTGCAATGAAGGACTAACCTTGCCTACGGAAAGGTTAGACCATTTGCCCCCAGCTCCAAGGAGGTAATCTCTAAACCCTTGGAGTGTCCTGCCTGATAAGAGTGTCTTTGTTTACCTAAGGGTCTTGAACCAGGCCAGATATTTGATGCTAATAATGTAATTTTTGGTGGAAGGCCTTGGGCCATGTGGTACCTACCAATCCAAGCTTTAGAGGGGCAAAAGTTATTCACATGAGTGATCAGCCTGTCTACATAGCCAACTCCTAATAAAAACTCTGGATAACAAAGCTTGGGTGAGCTTTCCTGGTTGGCAGTATTATGTACATGTTGCCATATATTGTCACTGAGAGTAATATGTGCTATCCACACCATTCCACTGGGAGGGAATGATTGGAAGCTCTGTGCCTCAGCATGTGTTGGGTCCTGCCCTATGTGCCTCTTCCTTTTGTTGATTTTAATCTATAGACTTTCTCTGTGATAAAACTATAACCACAAGTATAATGACTTTCCTCAGTCCTGTGAGTCTTCTACTAGTGAATTATTGAAACTGAGGGTGGTTTTGGGGAACCTCTCAGACATTATCCAGTACATCTGTGTTCTCCACCATACTGGTGAAAGGCTCAGAGAGAGAAGCAAAGATGAGAAATAGGATAGATGAATGGAAGAGATGAGGATGAGAGAGAATAGTATTGCGTGTATGGTTCTAATCCTTGAGACCCTTCGAGGTACCTTATTCATTTAGTTATTTCTTTGAATCTGTGGATTACCCCAGTATATTTCCAGTAATCCAGTCTTTCTCTCTTTCTCACTTTCCTTCAAACAGTTTATACTGCATTCCTGAAAGTTTTTAAATTACTATATCATTTTCCAATTTCAGTTATATTTAGTTAAAAATATGCCATTTTCCATCCTTAGAGAAGTGAGTATGATTAGTAGTAAAATCCAAACAAAATAAAGCCTTGTAAATATTTTTGAACCTGTCCACAAAGTTATTGAAAAATATACTCATTTCCAGTAAATTAATCTAGAAATGTGGATGTTACTTTGATAGGCCTCTTGAACCCCCAAGTTATTTCTGAGCTCCTGTTAGAATAAGAGATTTGAAAACAGAACTTAGTATAGTCTGCTAGTTTCATACTTTTTGTGAGAATTTTCTAATATATAATTTTCTGCATTTTGAGCTCTCAGCATTGCTTTTGTGAAACAAGAGATAGAGTTTCATCTCTAGGGATCTAAAGCTAAACATTAGTGATGATGCTCAAAAGAGACTATTCTAAACCCAAAGAGACTGTTTTTATAGAAAATATTACATTCTTCCACTACTAAATCCCAAATATTAGCCCACAGAAGAGCAATTAGCAAGTATGTCATCTATAAAAAGTATGAACATTTAGACATTTATATTGTAACTATTTATCATTCTATTGATGGGGAATGGACCACATTCATTTCATGCCTGATAACCAGTCTAGGAATGATAATTTAATTTCCACAAGTATTATCAGAATTCCTTGAGTTTTTTGAAAACAAAAGGAACTTTCTTAATTTGATAAATTTATCTTCAAACACTTAAAAAAAAAATCATGTTTGATGCGAAAGTATCAGGAATAATCCCTTCAAAGTGCAGAATAAGACAATGAGGTTCCTTATTACTGTCTCCAGGTCCTAGACAGCACATTATACAAGTATAAGAAATATGAACAGTATTATTGGAATGAAAAAATTATCATGATTACAGACAGTTTCATTTTTTTGATAGTGTAAAAGAATTATGGAAATTTGACAGATACAAGGTCAAAATTTAAATATAAATACATGAAATTAATTGTGTGGTTAAATACCAGCATAACTGATCAGAAAATATAATCTTTCAAGGATTCCATGCCCAATACCCACCAACTATGGAAGAATAAATCTAAGAAAAGAAATGGATGATCTGAGTGGAGATTATTATACAATAGTATTGAAAAGACACAAAAAAAGACTTACATAAGTGGAGATACATAGATGAGAAGATTTATTTTCCTAAAGAATTATTCCAAACTAATCTAAAATTTTCATTAAAATCTCAACTTTTTTTTTTTTTTCTTCCCACAGAGCTAGTCAGTTAGTATGGAACTAATTCATGCATCTTAAAGAGTCAGGGCCCAAAATAGCTCAGGTGCTTTTGAAGAGAAAGAATAATAAGCAGCACACACCCAGTTAGGGACGCAATTATTTTAAAGCTATCATACTCAAAATAATGTTCTGGTGGTAGGCTAAAATGCCTGAGACAGACCCACATAGACATGGGGAGTGGATAAGAGGTGGTCTTACACACCAATGGGGAGAGAACAGGCTTGCTTGTGAAAGGAAACAGATATAGATATACATATACAAAAATAAACTTCAGATGTTAAAATCAGGAAGCAAAGTTTTAAAATTCTTTTTTTTTAAGATTTTATTTATTTATTTGACAGTAAGAGAGAGAGAGTACAAGCAGGGGGAGAGCGGCAGGGAGAAGGAGAAGCAGGGAGCCTGATGTGGGGCTCGATCCCAGGACCCTGGAACCATGACCTGAGCTGAAGGCAGGCGCTTAACCGACTGAGCCACCCAGACACCCCGAAATTCTTAGACAAAAATGAAAGAGAATATATTTATGATGTCACGAGAGGAAATAATTTTTTAAACATGAGAAGTGCAAATCTGAAAAAGATTAACAAATTTGATCAGATTAAATTAAAATTCTTCTATGAAAACTCTTCTCTTTGTTTACAGACACCCCATAATATTTTTAAAATCCTACATTCTAAGATTATAGATTTTAACACTTCTAATTCCTATCAAGGACATATTAAAAAGTCTTCCAAATTAATCAAAGATAAGTAGACCCTGGAAAAATTAGCAAAGCCTATGAACGTCAATCTGAAATAGGCAACCTGAATCAACCAGAAACATTTGGAAAAAATGCACCCCTTCCCCTTGCTCTGTGATGAGGGGGATACGGGGATTAAAATGAAAAAGACAGATTGTTTCAAACTCAACAGATTACCAAAAAAAGTGGAATCTAGTAACACCAAATATTGGAGAAAATGTGAGGAAAGGGGAGTTTTCATATACTGTTGTAGGGGCTGTAAATTAGAGCAATCACTGTGGAAATAATTTTATAATAGGTATCGAAGCAGAAGAATCTCAGTCACTATGACCAGCAATTCCACCTCCTGATGTATTACGTTAGAGAGAGCGGCACCCTGTACATCACAGCTTATGACACTGGATAACTGGAAACAACCTGAACGTCTGTCAGCAGAGGAATTCATGAACACAGTTTATTCCCACAAGGAATACTATATAGCAGTTAAAATTAATGACGTAGCTCTCCCAGTTGTTCATTCATTGACTATATCCTCCGTTCTTCCACCACTGGCCTCCTTCTGTGGGGATTTTTTTTTTTATTTGTGGTTCCCTCTCTCTGGAACATTCTTTTCTCCAGATACCCTTATGCATCATTCCTGTGCTTTACCTGGTTTTCTGCTCTCATGTTACCTCCTTGGGAAGACCTTGTGTGAACACGCTATGAAACATCACACCTCCCCGACCTGGATCATCCTTTGAGCTCCTATATTTGCACCGGGGGCTTCTCTTTGCCCTACAAAAATAGATTCTGTTTCTGGGAGGGCATCTGTCACTCAGGGGACAGTGGGTAAGTATTTGTTGAAGCAATACATAGATATTTGTGTACATTTCGATGTTTACGGGCCCCTTCAGGGGATTTAAGTGCTCCCTCACATTCATGTTTTCCTGTGGAAACAGACTGGGCGGATCTTCCTTCCTACTGCGAACCATCTCCCAGAACCCTGGATGAGCAGAAGCATGAGGGGCAAGAGGTAGCCTGTGACCCTCCAGCCTCCTTACTCCCTTGCAGCTTGCTTTCCTGGGACCTTCCATGAGGTGTTCTGCACAAGGACAAGGGACCCATCCAGGAATAAGACTGTGCCCAGTGGGGGAGAGCTGGCTGTGTCCTCTGAGGACACGCATGGAAGCATGAGCAAGACAAAGAACCTGTGCTCAGATCCCAGTGAACTCGTCCGCTTCTCCTTGAACTTTTTGCAATATCATCTATGCTGGAAATGATCATTTAAAGCCACAGTCTAGCATAATGTTTACATCCCAAGGGTTGGAACTGGAGTCATTAAGTCTTTCAAACAACAAGGTAATGTTCAACGACTGCTTTTCTAGGAGGGGGCGTCATTTAGCACACTGCAGGGTGCTGATGCAAGCTTGCATCCTGGGAACCTGAAAGCCTTGGTACCTCTCCTTTGACCTAGGGTTCACCTTGTCTTCTCGGGAGTAGCGTGGGAGTGTGATCTCCTCATTTTCTTAAGTTACATAGCTAAATTTTCTTTAACGTGTGTCAGTGGGAAGAATACAGGCTCTGGGATAAGGTAGACCCAGGTATGTGTTGTAGCCATATTACTTCCTAGCCGTGTGACCTTGAACAAGTTGTTTCCTTTCTCTTGATCTTCTTTCCCTTTCTTCACCTAAGTGATGGAGTTATCAAACTTCTCTTACCTCTGGGTTTTGGGGCTTGATACATTGAAATAGTAGATGTAAGGCATCGCGCCGGTCCAACCTGGACAGGCAAAAAGCGTGCTTTCTGGTATAGCTTGCATCCTACCCCTCTCTGTGGACATATTAATTCTCCTTCGCACAACTCACAGGTGTTTACATTGAAATGAACATTCTCTTCCACAAGCCCAGAGCTGTGAGGATTTTGTGTTTCTCCAGTTGGTTGAGTGAGGTAGAGGGCAAAGAAAAGTAAGTGATTTTAATAACCGGTAGCACTCATGTCTTCATGGCAATCTTCTCGTAACCAGATAACTTCCTTCTAGCTGCATGTGTGAGCTAAATTTACCTAGTCAGTGAAGAAGTAAGAACGAAATGAAATGGGAAGAAAGCCTGCCTCTAGATATTGAATATCCTTCCCTGGGAGAGACTTAAACAAAAATTAAAAATGTAAAGTCTTCATTTTGAGGGATTTCACCACAGCTGATATTCAGAATCATACTGATAGACCTCCATTAAACATCAACCAGTCTAGAAAGCCCTTATCCAACATGATTGCCTAATAACTAAATGAAAGAAACCAGATGAAGATCACTTCATTTTGATGAAGATACCCACGCTAATTAAAGATGAGTTTGAAGCAAAGAGGAGTGAGTCTTAACCCCTTTCCCCATTTTTCAGAGCCTCTGTGAATGCCACGAATGAAGAGGTTTTAACAACATATTGGTTTTTTTTAAACAGTCTCGTACTTGGATATAGCTGTTCTTGGAAATAGCCGTAGCTTGGTAAACAGGTTCGTTCACTTGTTTAATGCCCCGATCTGTACTCCTGGTTACTGCCTTCTCTTGAACTTCTTTCAGCTTGCTCTACTCCGTTGTCATCCTTATATATGCAGAATGTCCTCCTCATTCAGCCAATTCATGTTGAAATTGAAACTTTTCAAGATAGTTTTGTTTAATCATCATTCCTGCACATACCCTCTTCTAACCGTTATGTAATCTTGGGCTAGAACAGTGATTCTCTAGCAAAATAGAGAATCACTCCTGCATCATTCCTGCACGTACCCTCTTCTAACCTTTATGTAA